AGATAAACTTAACACCAAACAAGACCGAATTTCAAGGTAGGCTTATTACTGCAGAAAATCTACACAAAATGTACAAATTTGTAAACATCCTTTGCTGTATTGAGTAAGAAGCAGTCTTCCTATTAAATGTCATTCTTACTAGTAATGGATGTTGCAATAATTAGAAATAGCACTACCACAGCAAGAAATAACACAACTCCTAACTGATAAACATAACATGTATTTCAATCTAGCCTCACAGAGAAATTCCCAGCTAGTCAATTTCACCATGGTCCAGGAACTCATTCAGATCCTCTGGAGGCTGAAGTTTTGGATTCTAACTAGATGCTTCTCCCCAACAACCAGGATGTAAGTTCTATGTGGATAGGAATTTAGAAACATTTTATATGTAGGCGCATTCCCAGCACTGAGAAAAGTACCAACCATAATGTCTGCACAAAGGAAGCATTGAATGATCTGAACTAATGATATGGCAGGTCCAGAATTTGAAGCCGGGCTTTCTGACCCAGAAGTCCACTATTCTTTGGCGTTTTTCCCCTCACTTTAACAGCACACATACTATTTTCAGCTTTACTAAGCTAAAAGAAACTCTGCCAACAAATGAGCCTGAGAGAAGGAAAGTGACAATAGTTATAGTTGAAAGATCTCAGAATTGCCTACAACTAGACATAGTGTAACTCACATAAAACAAAAAGCAGTTATAAAAAGGTACTGCCTTTAAACTCTAAAATGGACAGTTAGCCATAATTACTGGGCAAAAAAAGAAATGAAAATTTTCACTGTACAAGTGTTTTAAGATCTCACAAAAAAATGGAAAGACCTCGATTCTGTATTAATAACCCTTTAGCACATGTATTCTAGATATAAAACATAAGCTTCATTTCCTACTCAGATAAAAGCTCCAGTTAACAAAAGATCTCTCTATTCAAGACAGCTATGTTTTCACATCTGCTCTTTCTCCTCTCCCACTGTGAGGAACCATACAGGTTCGTGCACAGGTGTATGCTCCAGGACAGGAGAAGCTCAGAGAGGATGGCCACGGCCACTCAAGTTCTTCCAGACCTGGAGGCTGACAGACCACACTTCTAGTTCTGATAACTCATTATTTTCTTTCCATGTTTCATTATATAAGCAATCATAGGTAGATAATTTCAGAAGACAGTGAGAAAGGGGAAAATAAAAGGCCCAGGAATCAAATCCCTGCCTACCATGTGTTCTCACCTCACTGCTATCTCTGATTACTACAACAAATGCAATGCTCCACAGCATAGTTTGGATATGTCCCATAAAAGTTCTGTGTTGGGAACCTCAATCCTCAAATCAATATGCTAATAGTTTTTGGATGTGAAGTCTTCAGGGAGTAACTAGAATTAGATGAAGTCCAGAGGGTGGGGTCCCCACAAGGGGATTAGTGATTTTACAAGGACAGGCTCAAACAAGCTTTCCCTGTCTCCCCATGCAATGCTTTTGGCCAAGATACTATGCAGCAAGGAGCCCCTCATCAAATACCTGTGTGGCTGGCAGGAACTTCTCAGCCTCCAGAACTGTGAGTCAAACAAACCTTTATTGTTTTTAACTGGTAACTCTAGTCTCAGGTATTTCACTATCGCAAGAGAAAATGGACTGAGATATCCCATTTGGGAGGGCTGACATTGGGGAAAATTCATGTTTTATGATGATAGTAATCTCTCTCCTTATTTATTACCTTCTTAAATCCTTATTTCATGAGCACTGTTAAGTATCACACTTCTCAACTCAGGTATGCAGTGACCAGCTTGTGCACAGCTGATCTCCACCTAATGCAAGCTTTTTATTCCAAACACTTGGACAAGAATTGACACATCCTCCCTGAATTATGGGATGATACAGATAAATACCAACAGAAGCTATGTGAAGGCACATAATGAAGTTACAGATGTTTTTGCCTCCATCTCGGTTAGCACCTTCCAACACAGAAATTTTGTGAAGAATTAACATTCTTGATCCAGCCTGTAAATCAATTATACAATTCTAAACAGCCTGATAAAAATTGTTTCCAAAATCACTGAATATAAATATCTCTTTTTTTTGCACTTGGAACTGTTTATCCTTGGTAGAAAATCATGTAACTTCATTTCATTATAACTCACTATTTCAGAGGAGTTCTAATTTTATACCAATTCTAACAATTTTAGTCAAAATTAGGCTTCTATAAACATCCAATTATAGATTATTTTGGTTTCCTCATCTAGATGTTTTTAAAATATTCAGACATGTGTACATAATCTTCATAAACAAAATGACAGTGATGGTAAATGTCGCATAGCTGCTACAGGAAAACTGTTCTATGAGATTATGTTGAAAAAGAATAATCTAATAGTTTAATAATAATGCTGGTGTATATGCAATTAAATTACCACACAAATTAAAAAGCCCACTGTGGAAATTTATGTATTCTGTATATTTCCTAAAAATTAGAAAATACAACCATTAAAAATTAAATTTATACGGGCCGGGAATTTCTTAGTGGTT